AGATTGCGCCACACGTCATCGACAATTATAAATTGTATTACCATAAACAAATTATATTTCGCGAAGGTATGGTCCTTAAGGTATGCATTTTATGGATCATTGTTGCCTAAATAAATATATATTAAATAAATAAATGGAAAAATGTACTTTTTTAATATAATACTTTTATATTTTAATATACTTTTTTATTTTTAATATACTTTGTAATGTACTTTTTTTGTGTTTCAGAGTTCTGCTTCCTGGAAAAGGACCCTGGTCCGTGCACAGAGGACTTTACGAGGTGGGCATACGAAGCAGCTCTTGGCGCGTGCACCACATTCCAGTACGGAGGCTGCGGAGGCAACAGGAACAATTTCCCCAGTGAGGAACATTGTTCCTATTACTGCACGCCGGCACAAGGTACGCTTTCATGAAAGGGATTATGAAAATTTGAGCTAAGGCTATTTCGTTCAAATGTAATTTCGATCAATTACCAAAATTTTTTTTTTCGGTTTTCATCATTATTTTTTTCTAATGTCATCAGACGTATGCCAGTTGCCGATGAGACAAGGGCCGTGCGATGAGTCGTACATGCGATGGTTCTACGACCGCGCGACTGACACCTGTAGCCAGTTCACCTTCGGAGGATGCGATGGCAACGATAACAAGTGAGTTTTTTTATGATATCCAGAGACGGGACGAACAAGTCGTGAGCCTGACGATAAGCGACACAGCTATCCATGACAGTTGCAGTGCCACTCAGAGCATTAAATCACAAAGATATAAGAGCCTATTCACATGACGTATGTACCGTTTGTATCGATTCAAACGGGATAGAGATGTTTGCGAGAATCACGTGCAGCCTCTATCACGTTTTACGTGCGTTTGAATCGATTCAAACGCGCGCAGACATTGCGTTGCAAGCAAGAAGCTTATGTACACAACTAGAGTTTACACTTAAAATTTAAAGTAGTTGCTTCATTTAAAAAACTTACTGAAATCAACAAACGAAACTGAAATTAAAACTATCTCTTATCAAAATGAGCGAAACATACGCGCGACTACAGCGCGTCTACGGCGCGTATACGCGCGGATAACGCGCGTTTATGGCGCAACTAAATTTGTGAAGGTGTGCAATGGTTTACTCGCTGCGACTGCATCATCGTGTTTATGCGCGTCATCCGCATGCATAGGCTTTAAGGGGCACTGCGTCACCCAGCGATATAAGTTAAAAGTACTACATGCCTGTAATTTCACCCCTACCATTCAAAACTGGAACGCAGTAATGCCCACATTACTACTTGGCGATAGAAATAGGTAAGGTGGCAGTACTTCCTGAATGAACTCTTTCACAAGAAGCTTTACGGCTACTAAATAAGGATCTCTTTCAAGGAGACAATTTACTGCAAACTGGGCCAACGCGGGTTGGGGATATCATACATTAAGGTTGTGAATTGTGACCCTTCTTCGATGTGCAGGTGAAAACTGCTGTGTTTCGCTTTACCGTTTGCCCAGCAGTACGAATAATGAGTTGACAAGGAATTAAGTAGTCAACACACAAGAAACTTTTCAAAGAAACACAAGACCGTTTTCTGAAATGAATTAAGTTTTACTCTTTGACCGTGATGGACGTTATAGAGCGTCTTACATTAACTTGGCTGATACGCCAATGGCACCTTGAAGCGTCAATGAAACCCTTTAATTTTCAGTTGAAATTAATAAATAAATATTAACATATTCCTTGTGTTATTTGTATATTCTAGTTAAGTGTGGATTCATTGTTGGAGTTTATGTTCAGTTATGTTCTTCTTTGACTTAGGAGAATGGAATTAATATGAGGTGGAAATTCATAACATGTCACATCACTATATAGGCTTGGCGTCTAGGGAACGAAACTAGTTTTTGCCAGTGGCGGTCAAAAGGTTAAATCGATCGACGTTTAGATTTGCTTTGTTTATATCTATAGTTTCGAGACGTTGGAAGCTTGCGAGAGCCGCTGCAAGACTGCTCCTGCTGCAACCACTACCACAGCTGCATCTGCACCGGTTAGAATATTCTTTACTCTTTGCTTTTTCATGACTTTAAAACCATACCTATCAATAGCTTTAATAATAATTCATAAGATAATCAATGTAAATTAACCTGTCCTATACTCAGGCTCCACGACTACCCTCACAATGTTATATCGCCCCATCGCTAGAGGATTGTGCGGGATCAGGCAAGGTGTGGTACTGGGACCCAAGTCGCAACACTTGCACTGAACATGACAACAGAGATTTTGGACCTTACTGCAGAAGAACTGGCGTCTTCCCCTCGGAGGAAGCTTGTGAAAGGAACTGCGGTGCTTTCAGAGACCTTGGTCGCAGTATGTATATTATCAAACCTGATTAACTCTACTTAACTCCAGGGCCCAAGCCAGCTAATTTTAAATCATCTCATTATGTGTCGATATCACACTCAATCAATGACAGGAATTTGTACGTTTGGTATTCTGTCAATAGTTAAGAAAGAAACAAAGACAAATGTTAATTATTTTTATTGAATTGATATTCAATTATTTTTTGTCAAATTACTCCACTTGTTTGTTATAATTATTAATACAAAGATCGAACACAACACAAAAACAACACGAAAATCCCTACGATCCGGCCGAACTCGAACCGACGTCTCCTAGCAAACCGTGCCAGACACAATGCCAACCGACCGGATCGAAGGATATTTTTCTAAGTGTTCGCTCTTTGTATTAATAATTGTAACAAGACAAACGTTTATTCTTTAAATTGAGTCACTTCTTCTTAGTGTGCCGCTTCTCTACGAAGGTTGGCGACCATGGATATTCTCAATTTTGAAGCTGTTTCAAAGATATATAATGATCTACAAAATCCAATAATTTTTATTCTGTGAAGCTCGTGACTTCTTGAGATCAAGTACGTGCTTGGACATTTGAGTTATAATGTTAACAATATGATGTTCTTTCCATATATAGACGTCTGCCGCTATCCGCTCGACCCCGGATCGTGTCGAGAGTTCGTGCAGAAGTTCTACTTCGATCAGGCCCAAGCACGCTGCGTCGAGTTCTCCTACGGCGGCTGCCACGGCGGACCCAACCGGTTCTCCTCGGTCGAGGAATGCGAGGAGATCTGCAAACCTGAATCTGGTATGATCATATTGAACTTACTTATCGTGGTAGCTACATACCGTGTACGTACCCTTGCATTGGTATAATTAAGCTATAGCGGTTTACCTTGGGTCAACACCGTACAGCCTAAACACTTCCGCTCCGCTTATGGACGTTGGACCACACAACTTAGCGCTCCAACTTCGCACTAGCGAAACAGGCTTCCCTTTGTCACCCACGGTCGTTGCGCATACGCATCTCGCTCGCGCAGCGAGGAATGTGCGACAGTTCCGGTGTGAATGAATTGTTTATAGATATTTAATTAAATTTAAGATTTACTTTGTACCCGAGTTAAAAATATACCGTTTGCAATAAGTAATAAGTACTCCTCATTACTAGTTCTTAATTCCTTCATTACAACCTACAAGTGACAGCTGAAGTGCGAGGTACAGGATTGCTAACCTCTGCTCACAGAAGACACAGAAGAATTTGTATAGTGTAGTGAACGGCAGGTTTACTACAAAGACTTACATGATCATACGTCAAAAGTGCTTTTATCACATGAAAGTTAAAAATAATGCGCACATTAAACAAATTATAATAATTATCACCTATTTAAGACTGCCACGCAGAGGTCCCAGGTTCGATTCCTGGGCAGGGAGAAATATTTGTATGGACTACATTTATTTCTCTCGTGAGTTTTGGTGTAATTTGTGGTCGTCTGTGTGTGTGTCCACGGCATCCGCGACACAGGGTTGTGTCACACTGTGTTGAGTGCGTGTGCGTTATTATTATATCATTATAAAAAAAAATACCGACTAATTTCGTTCGCAGAATATTTTAAGTTTTCTCTTGAAAAATATGTTGACAAATTTGATTTCAATTTCAATTTATTACTCCATATGAGATACACAAAGATCTTAAATAACATAATTATAGGTCCTTATTATATGATATCCTGTAAGGGCATTGTAAAGAAGGGCAGAGGGTACTTATCTTTAAATAAATATAAATCTCCAACACAATTACTATTATATTATATATTACTATTAATAACTTAAATACTATTTATTATACTTCATTTGTGTAGAGAACTATTATCGTATAATATATTTAAAAATTTGTCATGGCCTTCTTACATCGTCCTCTACCAATTGACATGTCTAAATAACTCTTTCCGCACATTGTACACTGTTAAACCTAAAAATATTGTTAACACAATATGACCGAAAAAATACTGAATAAAGAAAAATTTTCAAAAATACAGACTTCAAATGAAAAAACCGTTTATTTGCTGGTAATTTTTACTATATATACCTCCTGGCTGGGTCGGACTTATTACCGTTCTAGTTATATGCGAGTGAAAACGCGACAGACGCCTCCTACTACTCTGGTTTGTTTATGATTTATCAGATCCATGCAAGCAAGGAGCTGAGCCTGGCAACTGCTTGGGCTACATAGTGAAGTGGTACTACGACCAGACCAAGGACACTTGCCAGCAGTTTGTCTATGGAGGATGCAATGGCAACGACAACAGGCAAGTAACTTAGCAAGGAAGTACCTTACCTATTTCTGCCGCCAAGCGGCAATGAGAGCTTTACTGCGTTCCGACTTCGTAGAGTAAGGGTGCTGGTGAAATTGCAGGTTCATGGGACTTGGTAACTTACATCTCAGGGTGACGGGCACAGTGACAGTGCCCCTCAGATCTTTGCGGTTTAAAGCTCTTGTCACATGGTGTCATAAAAAAATTATCGGCACATTTTGCGGAAGAAAAACATTTGAGAATATAAAATATATAGTAACGTTTATATTTAAATAAATAGTAATTAGATATAAAGTAAGAATTAAACTAACATTGATTTAATACGGCGTTACTCAATATTATTTTAAGTTTATAAAATACTGTTTGATATATATAATTGTGTTTGTCATAAGTGTAAATAAATTTAAAAAAATCGAAGTTAAACAAAATGCATTTTTTATATTTTGAAAAAAAAGAATAAAAATGGCAGAACGTTTGAAAATTTAAACAGTTTAATATTGATTAAATAGAACTTTAATGAACAAAAAAACCTTCTTTAATTGATGTTTACAAAATTTACAAAAAAGGTTAATTAATGACTCTGCAACCACTCGACCATTATATTAAGTAGGAAATCAAAACAAATTAATGAAAAAAAATGACAGTCAACAAATTTTTTAATAGCTAATTTATAGAGCTTGCGTTTAATTAACACCAATTCTATCTCTATAGATTCGAGTCGCAGGCGGAATGCGAAGGAAGATGCAGAAGACGGCCAGATGTCTCAACTTCATCCATAGCGCCTATGACCCCACCACAACCGGTAATAATAATATTCTAGGCATATTGTAGGCAGGCAGGGTGGAGGCGGCTAGTGCAGTGAGGATTCCATCGCTGCACTAGGTTCCTTCGCGTTTGGATACCACTTTCCACTTAACATCAGGTGGAGTGGAGTCATTTGCCTGTCATGTATAAAAAAAAAAAAAAATTCTAAACATAATTTATCTAACATTTAAAATACCTTACTCTTTTTTAAATTCTCTATTTATTTCAGTTATGATACCACCTATATAAACCTTTAAACAATGTGTCAGTTCCGTCATAACCTACAACTATAGTTTACTTGTTTCGGCGGTGCAACTGGAGAGCCGACTCAAGAAATATACATTTTTTGTCCATTTCGTATGGTGGTTGCACAGTCTCCAATTCCAAGCACCTACGGAGATTCACTTCATCTGCAGGTCTCTCATCACTACTTACCCTTTACTGCCCATATCTGACTCGTTTACAGTAACATGTTGACATGTAACTTCCACTATTCTATTTACATTTTTAATTTTTAGCTGTTTAATTAAGTTACTTAATCTCAAAAGTCCCCATATTTCCGAGACTAAAAGCCTCGGTCTCTTATCTCGAAAATGCTAAAAAATCGTCGAAACCTCGAATTTTTCGATATCGAGATTCCCAGAATGAAAGAAACTACATCAAACAGCCTTTGTTTCTTCCGTGACAATTATAAAAAAAATTATATTCATAACTTGAGTTAATAAGTTATAAAAATAGTAAAAAAGTTATAAATACAAAAATGTAGTCTTTTTTTTTTTCATTTTTATAATGGGCACGAAGGAAACAAAGACTGTTTGATGTAGTTTCAGATAGACAAGACCTGATTTTATGATCATCGTTCTTCAATCGTCACAGATTATATTAGGCTCCACTCAGGAGTCTTGTTATGTCCATGTAACCAGAATAAAAGGTGATTGATGCTTAAGTAGATTTTTTAATACTGTTTATTAAGTTACTTAATCTCCAAAGTCTCCATATTTCCGAGACATGTTTTTAACATTGGTCTCTTATTGGCCTATTTTGAAAACCATCGATATCTCGAAATTTTCAAAATCGAGATTCCTGCGATGAAAGTCCTAATTACAAGTAGCGTTATTATACCAAGGTTATTCTTATTCAAAATTTATTATTTAAACTTTATTAAGTGTGGTAACTCTTTATTGCACTTACCTTTTTTATGTCTAAGGTTTCATAGAACTTAATAGGTACATCAAACACGAAAGAAAACTTAATACATCAAGAATTTAATTAAAATACCATGTTTTGATTGCCGAAATGCCTAACCTATAAGAATAGAAGCATACTTTTGAAGTAGTTTCAAAATCTTGTTTTTCCCGGGATTTTCGAGTCTCGATTATTTTTCCTCGGAAAAAGGGAATGCTGCGAAACTGAAAGCCTTACTTATGATCATTGGAATAAGATTTCAAACCTTTGGTATAATAAAGCTACTTGTAATCATACGGAAAAAGTGTTTTTATTACAGAAAAGTCGTAAAAAGAATACGAACTACACATTGACTTACAAATAAATGGACGACGGGTCTAATACAAAAACCACGTAAAAAATGTCCCAAGTCAACCTATTCGAAATTTAAATTGTAATGTCATCGCAGTATCGCGCTGTCAGTCGAACAAATGAAGACTAAAGCGGAGTTTGGCGCTCTGTATACGATTTCAGCGCCTTACAAGTGCGGACACTTTTTAGCGCGGACCCGACGTCCATATAATTGTAAGTCAATGGAACTACATGAAATAAATAGGTTTATGTGCACTCTTATAATATAACTCTCCTATTTAAGAGTCTATACTACTTACCGCTATGCGTTGATTCAGCATATCAGTGAAAATGTTGGAACAATTACTTTGGAAATATATAGTAAAATTGAAGAAATACACCGATTACCATACGGAGTGAAAACACGATTCCTAAAAATTCACAAACTCAAAATTACCTCGAAATTTTAAAAGAAAACGGCTGTAATCAATAGGTTCTTTACATATACTCGTACCAATGATTTTTTTATATCAACTAAACTAAATAGAACGCGTAAACTACACGATGTACATTATTCAAATGGCTTCAATTTGGTTTGTAAAAAAATAAATTCTGAAATAAAACCAGTGATCCTGCCGCTCGACCCAAGCAAAATGAACCGTATTAGTGCGGGAAAAATTTAAATTCAAGTCACTGAGTAACGATATTAGTAGACTCTTTAACCTCTCTCCTGGTTGGGTTAATAAAATTGAAATTATCCTATAGCCGGCAGACGAGGAATGTCGCACTCCATACTCTTTGGAACCCTGCGAGGCGGAAATAACGTCGTTCTACTACGACGCTGAGCGCGGTGCGTGTCTTTCGGCACCGATTGGCGGCTGTCGCTACGCAAACGGATATCACAGTGAGGAAGAGTGCGAGAGACGTTGCGGCGCCTTCCGTGGACAAGGTATGGATAAACGATAATCACACCATGTAACACCATTTTTGTTTCTGGGTTATCAATATCATTTCCTAATTATCAAAGTTCTATCATAGAAACATGAAAAATCTTTAATAATAATAATAATAACACACACACTCAACATAGCCCCGCACTAGGGAAACCCTGTGTCGCGGGTGCCATGGATACACATATAGACAATCACAAATTACACCCAAACTCACGAGAGAAACAAATGTAGGTCATACAAATATTTCTCCCGGCCCGGGAATCGAACCTGGGACCTCTGCGTGGCAGTCCAGCATGGTAACCGTTCGGCCACAGAGGCAGTTAAAGTTTAAGTTGAAGTTTACTTCCCTACAATTGCTTTGTTTTAGCAGAAGTAGAGCTCCTTGTGAAAGAGTTTGTCCAGGGAACAACTGAACCTTACCTATTTCTACCGCCAAGCCGTAACGTCAGCCTTTCGGTACTGGTGAAGTTACATGCATACATGGGACTTGTCAACTTTATGTCACAGATATTTGTGATTTAAAACTCCAAGTACTGTAATGGACAGGCGTGTTATTTACCCCGTCCCGTCACTTGGTATATAAAAAAAAAGTTGTGGTCAGGACAACGAAAAGTTGAAACTTGCGTACCGTACCTTACAAATTTTCAGGTTTCTCTTTATTGAAAGTCAAAAACTTGTTGACTGACTGTTAACTACTTTAATTGCCATTTAATTAAATAAAAAACAGACACTTTGGTTTTAAGCATCTGACGATTCATAGTTTTGTTATCACCAGTTTCATGGATGTGTTCTGTTGCTCATTCAATTATTATTAATAATAATAAATTGAGTACTTACTAGCAGTGCTGGAAGTTACTAGTAGCTTGCTGTTACTATTATTTCAATTAAAAGTTATTCATTATGTATGACTTGTTATCTACACTATCGCATTAGGTACAGGCTGTAATGGTAGCTGTAAGTTGAAAATAAATAAATTCGTAGAATTTAAAATGAGTAATGTAATTTATTTTTCAGACATATGCAATGCTCCACTTGACCCTGGCCCATGCAGGGCAGCAATCCCCAAAGTGTACTGGCACCAAGCAACAGGCAGCTGTCTGCCATTCGTGTACGGAGGTTGCGGAGGCGGACCAAATAGATTCTCTAGCGTCGAAGAGTGTGAAGAAACCTGCGGGGCCTACGGACCTCGTACGTACTCCTTCCCTTGAATGTTTTTCCTCATAAACCATATATCTGGCTCTGTTGCTAATTTTCCTTTTTCTTTTACATTAATATCTATCTCCTTTGTCTGAAATAACAAATTTCATTGGTTACTTCCCTAACTGTATGATTATTCTAATGGAGTAACAGCTGCAATCGCAATAAATTGTCAACTTAAAGTTGTTAAAAAGTCATAAAGTCAAGGGAAAGGCCTCCTGGAAATCACTATAGAGTTAGTAATGCTAATCTTCATAAAGCATCATCAAGCTCGACTCGTTGCAAATTGCTTGAGCCACCGAGTGGCGGTACTAACGGGCATCGGGTGTCAGACCTGGCGTGCCTGCAGAGCGTGGAGGTGGGCGAGACGGGGTGTGATCAACCCTCCCAGAGGCGCTGGTACTACAGCGATATCTACTCCGAGTGCATCGTGTTCGCGTACACCGGCTGTGGCGGCAATGGAAACAACTTCGCCTCTATTGACGAGTGCGAACAACTCTGCAAGAGAACGCCCGGTATATTGCGCGCTTTGCTCGCCTGCTATCTACTGCCCACTTTCGTTTCGATGTCGTTCTGCTCTGAACACCAAAGGGACAAGTTCGTTTAAATGTCAAGGTTTTTAAAAGCCTGGCCTGCCGGTAAAGTACTTAGTTGCTGAGGATCATTGGTGCCGCCGCTCTCATATCACTGCTAATGCCCACGCTTTGATTTTGGCTGTTCTTCTCGTACACTACACTACTTTTTCTAATTTCTTAATATCTATATCAGTGTTAAGTCCTTGTAAATATACTTATTTAGTATTATAAAATATAACCTACAGTACACAATACTTTTAGTAGCTCTGGTAGTTCTGGTTTTGAAGGGTGAAATTACAGGCGCATGAGACTTATTAACTTATGTCTCAGAACAGGAATCAAACCCAACCAAATATGAAAAAAACACCTGTATTTTTATACTGCCAATCGAAATGGTCAATTATAAGGAATAGTTACTTTTAAGTCACGTATTTGCTTAGAAGTAGCTGGTGAAGTAAAAGGACATTGGGACTTGTCGACTTATATCTCAGAGTGACGGGCGCAGTAGGAGTGCCCCTCAGATCTTTGCAATTTAAAGCTCTGAGTGATACTACAACTGTTATGGACAGGCGTGTCGCTTCCACCAGGCACGCGATTTGTTAGCCCCGTCACTTAGTGCTATAAAAAAAGTATCTTAAAGAAACACCATTCGATTAGACGAAATATTAAAAAAGAAACAAACTTGAAACTGCTTACCTATATGGTATTTGCACTTATTTAGCAAATCGCACTGTTAATACAATAGTGTATTAACTCAAAAAGTGTTAAAATTATCTCAGAATCGACGAAAAACGAATTATTCGCGTCCCGTGACAGATCTGTGTAAATTTATGTACAGGTTATTCCCTACTTGCCAAATATACATATTTAAAAATAAAAGAGGACAAGTAATTTCATGTTTTTAAGGACTGTTTTGGCCAGACCTAACTCACGTAAAGCGTGTCTCATTTTGAGTTAAGTAGATATATTTTAGTTGTTTTTTATAATATTCTAACGACGGTTTTATTAACGTGAAGAGAATCAAATTTTAAGTTTAACAATGGTATAATCTTTAATTTGACATATTTTGAGGTATAACACTATTGTAATGGCAGTGCGAAATGTTCGTAGACAGTGGTAGCCTAATGATTTGACCTACCTCCTTTCAAACAGAGGCCGTGGTTTCGAATGCAGACTCGTACTTCTCGAATTTTTGAAATGTATGTGCAGAATTTAATTTTAAATTTACCATGAGCTTTGCGTGGGCCCTGCCCAGTACTGGAACTTATAAATGAGCATATAGATGATATGTTCAAAATGTGATCCATCCGTGATTCAGTGTTTGAATATGATCCAGCCGTCGAATGAAGTCGATTTCCCAAGTCTATTGACTGCGTTCGGTCTGCACCAAGTGCAAAGGGCGACTGAAATCCGACCACAGCCGAAACACGAAAAGACACAGAATGTCGCACGTTCTGGCATTACGACGTCACATCGTAACAAATATATGATAATGTACAGAATGGACTATAGAATTTTTTAGGCACTCAATAATTTAATTGGCGACTTTTCCTAACCAGAAACGAATGAAGTGGTGCCTAATTGCGAGCGGTACAACGAGGAGTGCGCACGCATCCGCTGCCCGTATAGCGTGCAGCGCACGCGCACGCCTGAGGGCTGCGAGCGCTGCTCGTGTGTGCCCGTCGATATCGACTGCGCGCCCTTACGGCTTGAATGTGAGCAGCTCAAATGCAACTACGGCTTGGATAGGACCACTGGCGAAGATGGATGCGATAGGTAATTATAAATCAATATAATATATATCCCATATGTAGAATGTAATCATCCTTACAAGACACTGAGTCTATTAACATTAAAAAAATAGTCCATTTTATTTATTTTGTATGAAAAATATTTTATGAAACTTGACCAACTGCTGTCCAGTTCCATACAATTAAATAATACCTTCATGAAAAAATTTGATCAATTTTATTCGTTTTTATAGACAACTCACGCTTGACCAAAAAAGTTTACTTTGTCAAGATTGTTTTCACAAAAAAGACTTAATGGTTCGTAAGACGGGTTCCTTGTATCTTCTATAGTTTCGAATTTCCCCGTACTGTCCCATTTTAAAAAAACACTATTATGCTTAGAGGATGGAAAAAAATAAAAGAAAGGAGCTGCCCTTACTACAGAATCAACGTGCATATAACCAAAATTTTGAAAAATTTGAAAGTTACAAACAGCGGATTTCTTTAGTGTTGTACCATAATCTATCAATAAGTCATTATCGACATACAAATGTATGGCTTGAATGTTGAAACTGTTTTTTTATTGTTTCTTTAGTTTACTGTAACCATAGTATGCCTAAACAAACACAAGTCGAATAATTTAATCTCGAATGGAATATTATTATAAATGTCAACACACATTTTTAAACTTTTTTAAAATTTATTTTCAAGATTACAACTGGTAACTTATTTAGTAAAAGTCACCAAACTACTGTGTAGTTTGTTGGCGACATGCGTATTCTTACTTAATTATACCTAATTTACTGGTATATTACATTACATAGCATTAATGGTACTTACTAAATAAAATATGAAAATTACTTTAAGAGGTACGCCTTTAACCTACATTTTAGTACATATTTATGTAACGTCTTTTAACTAACTGTAAAATACAAGTCAGTCTATTCAGGTTTCTGCGGATTCTAGTATTCCCGTTAATTCCCGGGCTTTCTTAAGCAAATGAATCTATCAAGCAATTTTAACACAGAAATAATGGAAGTAGTTGTAAAAATCAATTATCGGAAATCAACAATTATCTTGTACTAGCTTTTCCCCACGACTTCGTCCGCGTACAATTTTTATACAAATGAAAAATATTCAAGTATGAAGCAAATCGCACCACGCGTTAAAAAGTTACCATACAAACTTTGTTACCCCATTTCGCCGCATTTTTTAAAAACTGTCATGCCATTTTTTTTACCATTTTTATTGTAAAATATTTATGCAAAGTTTCGTCTTTTTTTTTTCTTCTTTTTTAAGTTTCTAGTTGTTATTTCAAGGAATATTATTTCTCAAGCAAACGTTTTTATCCTCTTTCGCCTCTTAGGAGACGAATTTTAGAAATCCGTTCTTAGTACTCCTTCACTAAATAAAATTAACATACCCTCAAGTTATCATGTTGTAGTACTTACAGTTTTTGCCATGCGTCCATCTACCAGTGAATTGCTCCGGGCCGTACTCCTTTAAATATGTATATAGATTTACAAAAACCAAATTATTTTAAAAAATAAAAACCCGACTGCAAAAAAATAACTGAAAAGAGATAATCCTATGACACTCCCACCAATCAAGACGAATCTAACGACACCTCATATGTAAAAATCCATCATGCCATTTAGGCTGTACAGTGTGAAAAAGAAATGAACAAACATACACTCAAAAAAACATAACCCACCTTCTGACGCAGTCGGGTAAAAAATACTAAAATTATTCTTGACGGAATAAAATAATTTTATTTAAATAATTTCGGAGTGACAAATTTTCAATATTTTTTTCCAAAATATTTGAATCTCAAGTCCATATACATATATTTATATCACGCTTTTAATTAACAAATATTTATGATTTGTGTCGTAATTTGTATCTCATGATGTAAACAATTTACCAGACTCTTCGAAATATGAATATATCCAGTATGCATTTCATATGCGGACGGACAAACGTGTAAACACTATTGGCCGAGCGCCTTTGATTTGTGATAAGCTAAATGAATTCTATACACATTGGCGCTCGTCTTCACTCGGTCAGCTAGGCAAGTGACACCGAACGATGGCAAGGCAAGGCAAATAGGCTGTCTATACGTTGGTATTGGCCTTTACCCGGCAACGTTGGACTAACATGTCATTGTATATGGCTTTAAAAAAAATAGTCATTTTTAATAGTTAGAGTTTTCAGTGAAAAAAAATCGGAAACGAGTGGATAATTTTGTTTTCAGGAACTGAGAATGCCTAGTAAATGAGTTGTGTTTAATCCATATTAAATATAAAATTATTTACCAATAAACCTAATGATGGAATTGCATTATCATATAATCTAGTAACATTCAAAGTTATGTTAAAATTTGATTCTTCAAAATGAAGCGAATAGATGAAGATGGTCTTTGATTCAATGTATGATTTCCAACCATTCTATTTTCTTTTTTGATTTGTAGGTAAACTTGAAATAGTAAAAATATTAATAATAAAATAATAAAAATTTCGTAGTGAATTATTTTAAAAACAGAACATCGATAATATGTATGCTTCCAAGAACAACACTATCTCAAAATAAACGTTAACAACAATCATCAAAATACACAAACAAACAGGCAATCTGAAGAAACCAAAGCAAAATTTGGCAATATTTATGAGTAAACTACTTAAATATATCTAATTACATGAGATATTTGGGCTTTTGTGTGATTTATAGACAGAAAAATAACACGTGCCTGCACAATGTTACATTCTGTCGATCTTTGCTTTTTCAAATGCCACATTCAGTCATGCTGCAGCGACGAATTTTTATTAATACTTAATTGTTCTCACTGTCAATATTTTTGTCCATTTTATTACAATACCTGCGAATAATTCTATAAAACACTTGGAAAATCATTTGTTTATATTTGATGTACTTCCCTTTGACAACCGTATCACGTACCTCATTTACTGCGAAATGGACACAGATGGCATTTAAGACGATACGTATTTTCAATTCCCGTGTTTGACACAGACCAATGTAATGCTATCTCTTTTGGCTTAAGACGGCACGCAATAATTAAATAAAGACAATAACATGTTTATGTTTTCAACGTCGAAATGCATCATATACATATAACGTCTGATTTATCTATATGTCAACATAACATATATTTATATGTCAACATAACATATCCTAAGATATCAAGTGATCTATACTTTGAGTGTGTGTATTTTCAATTCCAATAAATTTATAAAAAAAAGTTTTTTTTATTTAACTTACAATCTTTTTTTTTCGATTTAAATTACGATAGTCTGGGTACGGCTCTCCATTTAAGTTAATATAAGGACTTACTTATCCTAGGAGACCCGTTCTTCCACTTTACAGAACAGGTGTGACCAGGTAAGTCAAAATTATTAAGTTATGAAGTTCAACTGATTCTACTTACTTCACGGCAGTATTTATATGGCGAACGGCTATGGAGTGGAATTTCCTGCCTGGACTTGTTCCTTAAATGATATAACTTGGGCCTTTTCAAGGCGAGAGTGAATAGGCATTATTATTACAAAACTGCCTCTGTGATCTAACAGTTAGCATGCTGGACTGCCACCCAGAGCTCTCGGGTGCAATTCCCTCCACTTTCCATGCTCTAAAAGTACGTCAATATCACTTTACGTAACGAGATTAAAGTGCGTCATTTAATGTTTAAGGAGTATAAAAAAACCTGTATAAAAAATTTACTCCCGCTACGTAAAGCTATATTGACGTACTTTTAGAGCATGGAAAGTTAAAAAGGACATTTGACTTGTGAACAAATATGGCTTATTATAACCAAGGGTACAAAATGTGAAATAGTGTGTATATGTGACAGAAATTTCGAAAGTGAAGGCGCGTATGTGCGAGAGAGAGAGAGTATATGCAATGATGATTATAAACCTTTAACAATGAAGTAAACTGAATTGTTCGGACGGCATATCTACATTAGTTCTATTAGATGACGCTGGCCCCATTGACCTTTCTATCCGCGATATGACGTTATCTGATCCAGACCAAAGGTTAACCCAAACAACTTCTCAGATGCCGTTGCTTAGAGCACCCGTGCGAGAAGCACCCGTGCCCGAGCGGCGAACGCTGCGTGGCCATGGCGTACGTCGACCCCGTCACACAGGACACGCGCTACTCCGCCGACTGCAGAGTCGGTCAGTACACATTTACTTACTGCTGGTAAAATACCGTATCAAAACAGGAGAACCAGTCAAGGGTATGGATCAAATCGACTCATCCGAAGAACAAAGATATATGTGCAAGACTGCTTATTCTCAGAACATTGAACATTTCGTTCGTTGTTCTTCGCTATGGATATCAGATCGACCTGTGTTAGATTTTATTTGTCAGAAACTAAATAAGATATAAAAATTCTCAAAACACCTATAGATATGTCTTAGTTTGATTAACGAGATTATGTATTTATCATATTTTCGCTGTGTAATCACATCAAACTATTCTTCGGATGAGGCGAAATTAAGTCTAACTTGGTCTTTAATGAATCGTCACAAGTTCGCACTCGGATTGTGTCACCGAGGCATGGAGCGCAATATCATGGAAGTAAAAATGTCAGAAAACACAACCACGGTGCTTCTATTTTTCAATGTCTCTCGACAAACTTCGAGTTTCGGCTGTCATCGGGTTTTATTCAGTCGCCCTTTGTCTTAAGTACAGACGGAACGTTTTCAGTCGCCTTGGAAGTATATAGAGTTGCTATTACATTTTTTATTTATTACAATTCTTATTATCATTTTTATTATTTACAATTTTATAGTAAATACCTGTTCGAACAGCGCGGAAAGTGATTATTCCATCAATGGCGAACATACTAACATAGCTATGTCAGATGAAGTAATGCGTTCAAATACTGACTGAATTGAAATTATTAATAACCGGAAAAATATTCATTTTCAGTTATATAAAAAAGCACACTTTATTTACTATATACTTCACACGGAAATCAAAACAACAGTAAAGTAACGTTGTTCAAAATTCAAATTATTATAGATTTTAAATGTAATAATGAATTGGCAGAGAAATTAATATTCCTGTGCACTCGGAAAACCGATGATTGCCGAGGGACATTGAGAAAATAGAAGCACTGTCATTTATTGGTTCGGACACGTCTGCCCCAAGTCAAGCGAACTGTAGGCAAAGATCACAGATACAGTGGATATCACCCAACGCAAGGCAGAGATGTGAAAGGCGCAGAAAGAGATAGCGTGTCGACTTAGATGCTCATATGACATCTCACTCACGCTCACTTGAAATACGTTAAAAACATGTCTACATCATTTATCAATCCCACAGTAAACAAACCAGGCCAGTGCCCGGCAACCGACGCCGCGGTCGAGGGTCTGGCGGCGAGCTGCCGGCGCGAGTGCAACGATGACGCAGACTGCCGCGGCGTCGGCAAGTGCTGCACCGTCGACTGCAGCCAGCTCTGTTTGGACCCTACCACTGCCACGAGCCCTGTACCGAGGACCACTACTTATACTCCAGGTATGTTTAACTTTCATAGATTTCTCACAGATGGCGCTATGATAAAAACAAAGATCTACAACAAAAACATGACTTACGGAGCCGAGACGTGGAATATTACGGTCAAACTGGCTCACAGACTACGCGTCGTCGTCTATGGAAAGGTCTATGCTGGGTATCTCGTTAAGGAACAAAGTCCGGAACGAAGTTATACAGCATAAGACTAAAGTTGCGGACATCGTCCAGAAATGTAGCAAGCTGAAGTGACAGTGGGCTGGCCACATCTGTCGCAGAACCGATGAGCGATGGAGTAGACCGGGTTCTCGAGTGGAGACCACGTCTCGGCAAACGTAACGTAGGACGTCCCCCTGCAAGATGGACCGACGATATGAAGAAGGTCGCGGGTAGTGGTTGGATGCGGAAAACGGGTGATCGGCCACTATGGTGTACGTTTGGGGAGGCTTATGTCCAGCAGTGGACTGCAACAGGCTGATTGATAGATGACAACAAGCACATATAAAAGTTTGTAAGGTTTGCTGGTTCGTTCCGTAGCTCAGTTTGGACGGCGTCAGGCACATCTGAAGGCCCAGGTTCGATCCAGCCGAATCGAATTTCTTAGTGTTCGATGTTAATACAAATAATTATAACAAACCAGGTTTCTTTGTTTGATTGTTTGGCTTTACTTATTTCTGCCGCCAAGCGGTAATGTGATTCGCGGTTTTGAAGGGCAAGGATGCTGGTGAAATTGAAACTAGTCAACTTACGACTCAGGGTGACGGGAGCAGTGATATTGCCCCTCAAATCATTGTGATAAAGCCCTCTCGCAGGCGTGTCGATTACCACCAAGCGCACGGCTTGTTCGTCCCGTCACCAGGTGTCATAAAAAAAACCTTTAGTGATGAGACCTTATAATTATATTATACATATACTAAATACATTATACAACATTGAAACTTCTGTACAAACACAATTTACTCCTACAGGTGTAATTATATTCACACTCGCTCATGCACTTACATATCAAAAAGGTTATTTTAGATGCACTATTTACACTTTACTATATTTATTATTCTCATTATATAACTTTACGCATAGTCGTAACATTTTTGCTTTCAAATAACTTAATCCCTCTCGTTGGTTGACTGAAAACCAGCGCCTCAGGAACTTTGACATATCGACAGTGAACTGCAACCGGTACTATCTCAATTTTGACAACTTTACAGGTGAAGAAAAAATCATTTATATCGCATCTGGTTTATTATATAAAAATACGTAATGTACATACACACATGTGTATGTATACGTGTATTTATTTAATAAACCAAATGCCAAATAAATGACGCAAACAATTTTTTTCAGCCGTTTGACTGCTATGACAATCATGTTATGTTTTTTATTTTATGCTTAATCTGTATTGGTGTTATATAAGGGAATAAAGTGTTTATCTATCTATCTCTAGAAGACATTTTTAAAGTCCACCCCTTTACAATAACCAAACTTTTGGTTTTGTCGCGACGTTTTTAGGATAAAGGTTCTTACAGCATCGACATGAACTAATATGTGATCACTTATATTTATTCTTTTACCAACAGAGCTACCACAGGCCCCTCGAGCGAACACGGACACTGAGCCCGAGGTGACGTCATCGGAAGGTGATAAAGCAACCTTGCGCTGTTTGTTCCACGGTAATCCGCCGCCCAAGATAACATGGCGACGTGGGGAGATCACGGTAAGGACAAAGTCACCTCACAAAGGTCTAGCAGTATCTAAACCTACCATGCGACCTAAGTAACGCATGTTACCTGCTTTCTACGGTATTTCAACTTTTTTCTAATTACATGATTCTTACCATGGTATAGTTTGTTATTATCCGGTTATTTCTGCTGCTGAACGAATTGCAGCAGTTTATTGTTTTAAGGACAGACATATCGATGGCTTTCCAGAATAGCGACCTATCTCAAAAGCCTTTCTAATTCATCAGGAACATTATTTGAAAAAAATTAAAACATGCCTGACGTACAAAGTTGACGAATTGTAGACCACCACAAAGTTGTCAAAAAACTTCGAGGCCCATTAATTTAACATTTTCTAAACAAATCTCAGTAATAAGTCAAAAATATTTCGGATAGGGCCACTTATTATGGTTATCAGCGGCAATAAAGTTTCCTTTTGTCAATTCTGCCACTCTCAATGGTCTATTCAATGCCAATTTTATAATATTCCGTTAGATCGACGGCACAGTAGGTCGCTACCGGCTCCTCTCTGACGGCGCACTCGAGATCGTGTCCCTGTACCGCAACGACACCGGCGTATACATATGCGTGGCCGACAATGGCTTAGGCACTGCCCGCCAAGAGGTGCACCTGCAGGTCAACGGTGAGTACTCATACTTATATTTACAAAGGCTGACTAGATTAATTTGGACTTTAACCATCTTGCGATATTTCAAGAATAAAACGAACACCCTTGAAAAAAAGTTTGTGGAAACAAATAAAATAGATTTTAAAAATTATCGTACCTGACATAATTAGTTTATTTCGCAGCGTAACACCACTACCCAAAACAACGATTTTAGTAACCTGGCGTCATAGCTAGATGGCGTTGAGATGGAAATAAAACGCGTTGTCAAAAATCGACACCAAGTGTTGACATCTGTGGTAAAAGAGACAGAGTGACCTTTTCGCTCCTACAGCACGCGCTTTTGGCGGAAGTCCCCAGTAGCACCCTGAGCCAATGTCCGTGCCCACTTGAGTGTCCTCAGCCTCGCTACTTAGGTTTTAATTACTTTTAGTATATTTTTGGGTTAAAAGCCTTCGGCTCGCCCTTTTAACCGGTGGCGCAGTCAATGCCATCAGCGGCTTCCTGCAAAGTGTCAGTGTTAAAAAGAAATTGAGTGACCTTATGGTCCACAGCTGCACTGCCTAATTTGTTTCCGGGTGAGCTTCCACTTGTGGGACTCTCCAAACTCCGGTGACATACTAGTTAGTCTGCTGGAGTACCTAAAAGATGTACGTTACCTGTAGGCAGATTTTCGCAGTTCTATGCAGCTACTGCATAACATTCTTACCTACCTTGTATCGACAGTTGTGCCTACTTTAACGTTATAGTACATTTTATCAAATTATAACCTTTATTGAATGTGTGAAATGCTTTCAACTGAAAACATATTTAATGTTATGTCAGAAGCACTATTGCGATGTTAAAGTCCAAAATTATCTTATCAGCCCCCACATAAAATAACATAGTCGTTGGATGGTAGTGGTTTTTTAAATTTATTTTGCGAATGTAATTAAAACAATGACATATTCTAAGTAGATAACTAAATTAATGCTTGGTAACAGGAGATTAATGTATTCAAATTGATTGGTATGCTGTTTGGATACTCATACAGTAGTCTTTGAACTTTTGTATCATTTTCTTTTCTATTTTACCAGTTTTTCTTTACTTGACTTACCTAATTTAAAACTCTTGTTGTTTAGCCACTTTTTCTCTTGTGCTAACATAATATACCTGAGACCACAGATACACAACCGCGACACGCACAACTTAATCGCTTATAGTTGTTTTTTTCAAACAAATCAACCTTTACAGGCGCCATGGTCACTGCTGACCATCGAGTATATAACCAGAAATAGAGACAAAATCCACCCCTGGCAACTGATCAGTCAAATGGTACTGATATCACTTTTAAATATCACCTCTCGTTTGCGCTGAAATCACAAATTAGAAAGCTGAAATAGTACAGCGTCAACAACTGACCTGGGTGTACGTCTCCGTGTATTCCAAAAATATTACGTATTTATTGTAATAAAGATACTATCTCTAACTATGGAGGGGCTGTTCCATTCGGTGGTGTGGGAAAAACAGCAAAACATCTAATTACAAAAATGTAATAAGTAATTATGTAATTTTTCAATTCTCGTCCATTATAACAAAGCTCAAGTTAAACTGGTCCATTTGAAGTGAAACAATTGACGACACCCGTCAATTGTTTCGAATTCGGCCTGGCCAATTGGAACGCAGTTGTCACTGTAATGATATGGCATAGTTTTACCAGAATAGTTTTCAAACAAGTTAAATGATATTTTGTCTATTTCTGGTTATATATTCGATGCTGCTGACTAATCCATTTTTCAGAACGATTTAGACCCGAAAAAATAGTTTCTAAAGTAATAATGAATGATGAAGCAAATTTTACTTGAAATCATGAAATTGATTAATTTAGGCCATTATGTGTAAGAATGTAATACGCTCCTGCCATTGTATGGGATGTGTTTATTCTTGTACAGTTTTATGAACAGTAACATCATATTTGGCATACCTATCACATCACACTTCTGTCAGTCTGCATCGATAATACACACACCAGCACATTTTTCTGGATATGAATAAGTACACATAATGTAGCCATAAATTAACATCTATTTACATTAACTTAGTACAGCCTTACTTAATAATTATAGAAAAAAGGGAAATGAATAAAACTCACCTGAAATAACTGTAAATTTAGAAATTGTAACAATTTGATATTGATTGTATTAGTGGAAAATTGAAACAAATTTATGAAAAAAATTACAGTAGATCAATTTTTCTTTTCAAATTAGACCTAAAATAATAAAGTAAAACAACGACCAGGCTTAAAAAAATTGCAATATTTTGAGGGTTTTACTAGTGATTCGCTAAATGTGGCGTGTGTACAACGCCATCTGTTATTCATCAATTCAAATGTATAGCTTCATCCTGTCATTCAACAATCGCCAGAATCAGTAACGATGAACGAAGTACGGATAACAGCACACCAGACTACACATTTTTGTTCGAAAATCGCCTCCAGTGCAACGGAACAAAATACGTCAATGTGTAGCTTGATGTGCTGTTGACTGTACATCAACTCGTGTATACATTAACATTTTGTTTTACAATACGAAGTAGAAATAAATTATACGTGTGTACCTATTTACGACTGATTACTTTAATTATATACGTTTCCGTCGGATGTTTTCTTTATCGGATTCCATGACAAAAATCCGCATTACAGATCAACAACGGAAGTTAATAGTCATATCTCCAATGTACAAACAACAGCATATCAGGCTCTATAATAACCTTGAGCGCTTCGAATGTTAACCATAGACAATCGTACGAAAAGGACAATTTGCGTTTTCACTGAGTCGCGGCATAATTTTGTGATGGACTGCATGTGTGGTGGTAACAAAAGAAATTTGTTAAGTAAATTGTAAAATGAATGCTTATTTCTCTACTGTTGCAATAGGCTTGCCAGATGGCTGGGAAATCAGGGATTGTCCCCGAAGGTCTCGTCTTGTCCCTATCCAGTATAGACTTTACTGTCCCGGAGTCCAAACACCTAGAAGTTGTTTTTACAAACTTACGAGAGTCCTTTTCATAAAGAATACGCTGTAGAAAGAATGTTAATTGCGAAAGACGTAAAATTCTTGTTGGTTCTCAATCAGTATTAAAAATCTCCCAAAAAAAATTATGTTACGGCCATGTTATGACCGTCAAATTAGATTGGTGCCCATCGTATCTTTAGGTAATTCTTCAAACATGAAAAACATCTTAACTGCAGGACCTAAGTATCTCGTACCTTGAGGTATTGATTTTTAGATACCTGTACGAGTACGATACACTTTATTCGATACTACTCATGAGTAGAGTATCGATACTTTTGATTCGATAATGTGTCCCTAGGCGCAAGAGTTGTTGTTCCCGCCGCTTGAATCCCAAAAAAAATGAAATCAAAATACATTTACGCCATGTACATCTTTATTTCAAATACAAATACAAATACAAATACATCTTTATTTCGTTTAGGATTTTATAATTAAGTATAACTTTATCTAATGCCTCGAGGTCAGTAGATTTGTTAACAGAGTATAACGATTGTTATTGATTAGATCAAAGGGCAGAGATACACCGATAAATTTATTCATGACCCTATGCCACCCTTGCTGATACAATTAGGACTGTGTAAGGGCTATTATTTTGCAAACAGCCACTTGCATGGCATACTAAAAATAGTATACAAGGGTATTAGTAAATACTAACCACCTTGCAGGACTATATTACTATCATCATAAACATTAATTTTTGTTCCACGATTTTTTACAAAACGTATTATATTTACTAAAGTTTTGTTAACTATCTGAAGCTTTTTTGACCGGAGAGTGTTATCGCCGTTTAGAGAGATCAATTTAAACATTTTATTTTTGTTGGAAAGTAAAGTCCGGTGAATTAATAAAAGTCATGGAGGAAATGTTTTTGTTAATGATGTTAGTAATATGCGAGGTTGTTAATATTGTATAAATAACCCCGTATAAACTTGCTGTTACTAATTATTTATTACAATTAACTGAGAAATACCTATTTATGAATATGTAAAAGTAGCTACCGTAAAATTGAGAAAAGTTAGCAAAGGCTACATTATTCTTTTTAATTTTTTCCCCGGTTTTCGCCGCAATCTTTTTGCTGTCAGTACACTTTTATCTAAATATTTAAATGGGTAATTACGCTACGATAACATAGGTAAACAAGCCCATTGTACTATATCTCGTTATGGTTTTTAGATACAGGCTGTTTACTAAATAAGTATCAACCCACTAGGTGTTTAACGCGTGATTTCAAGTACAGATACCTGAGTTTTGAAACTCACTTTTGTTAAATGTACCTATTCTGCACAATATGTAACGAGTTTTTTTTTTATGATATCAAGTGCTGGGACGAACAAATCGTACACCTGGTGGTAAGCGACACTCCTATCCATGATTGTTGCAGTAACACTCAGTTTTAAATTGTAAAGATCTTAGGGGCACATCACTGCGCTTGTCACCTAAAGACAAGATAAGTTGACAGGACAAGCTCATTTACTTGTAATTTCACCAGCTCCCTTGCCCTTCAATTGGGATATTAAGTTACTACAAGGACCTAAATTTAAATCACAATTGACAAAATGGCTTTTGACACATTGCTTTTATAGTAATAAGCAATATTTAGATTGTGCTACAAGTAATGGTCATTAATATAAATTGACATATTTTTAATAAGTTTTTAAAGTATGTAGTAATAATAGAGACCTGTTTAAATTTTATAATATTTGCACACCTGCTTGCAGGTTGAGTACACTGTACCTATTCAAAATCAAGATCTGTAATATACTGTATTCTGGCAAATAAATATATTCTATTCTATTCTATTCTATTCTATTCAAAACCGAGACTCAGTAATGCTCAAATAGCTGCTTGGCGGTAGAAATAGGGGAAGTGACAGTACTTCACTTCTTACTTCTTATACATATAATAAGACAATAATAACGCACACGCTCAACATAGCTCCGCACTAGGGCAACCCTGAGTCGCGGGTGCCATAGACATACACATAGACAACCACAAATCACATCCAAACTCACGAAATAAATGTAGGCCATACAAATATTTCTCCCGACCCGGGAATCGAACCTGGGACCTCTGCGTGGCAGTCCGGCATGGTAACCGTTCGGCCACGGAGGCACTTAATTATATTAGATTAGATAAAAGATTACGGTTGATATTCAATATTTGCCGTTTACGAGATTTAAAATTAAAATAAAATTCTGCTTTCGAGGAAAATCCAAGGTAGTGACCTGTTTAGGTCTGTCAGGTTGTCGCTAGCTACGCCATTTGAAAGAAATATCGTATAAATGATAAATATGTACAAATATCTCTTTAGAAACAGTTGCCCCTGGAATTTCTTACTCATTCTTTTCAGGGGAATCTGCCTTGCTAATGAGTAGTAGAATTTAATCTATGTGACGATTTCAAGTGTTTTTTGCTATGAAATAAAAATACATCTGAATTTGAGATTTATACTCTTTGGTGTCGCTAATAACAGCTTATCAACGTCGTGAATATTTTTGTAAAAATTTTTAATTGAATAACGTATTTCAAAAGTTATCCTTATCAGTTAATATTTAAAAGCATCCTGTATGATAGGGCATTGCGGTTAGAGTCAGTCAATGTGTTCCCGCATCAGAGATTGAGGAACCATGGCCAAGCGCGGATGTGTGTCTGTGTTTTTATTGATCTTCATCAACGCAGTGGCAGCCCCAGAGCCACCAACAGCAGGTTGTTTAGCACTGTTATTAGTACATTTCTACTTTATATTAAGCTATTGTACTTTGTGTATTCCTGGTGACTACATTGTTCACGTCAGTTATACTTTGTACTAGTATTTTTATTTATCGAAGATATCGCGCATGACTACTGACATAGTATTGTCTCAAAATGGTTTTAATTTATATTAATATTACCTATTTAGTTTCAAAGCGACAGTACTGTCCTGTCACTATGAAATTAAATCGTATATGAATGACACATCAATATAGCGGTATTTTGGAGAAAAATTATTAATGTAACGCAATTTTGAGATATAACATGACGCCATTTTTGAGGTAATACTATGTTAATTGTCATGTGCGTATATCAGACAGATAACATCTATAATGAATCAGTGCCCTTACATTAATTGTGCTGTGTGCCATTAAACTGTGGGTAAAATATTATATATTTTTATTATAATATTTTACGTTTCGAGTACCTATCATAGTAACCGATATGTTATTGAACGATTTAATAATATCTGTTATAAACGAAATACCTGCAAACACATGAATACCAGGAACACTCAAAACAATATCAGGTACTTAATTAATACCATTTGTGTTTGTCTATCATTTTTCTTCCTTGTCCATAACCAAAATTTTCAATTGAGTCAGTGAATGCTTTTACTTCTGCGTAACTTACCTAAGTATCTTATAGCTAAGACTGCGGTCGGTGCATTTTATAAGTTTTTGTATTGCTACTGTTAAAAGCATTCACAGACGCAAAGTAATGTAGACACTAACAATCGGGAACGGTAGATCCTGTGAACGGTCCGGCTGGCATCTCCGGAGAAGCCGACAAGGTTGAAACTGGCGAGTTCGGACGAAGTCTCAACATCCGTTGCCTCGCATACGGAAACCCCACACCGACCGTATATTGGTACAGAGGACTAACCGGGCCCATGGTACCCTACAGCAGCCCGCTCTATGAAGCCAGAGATAACGTGTTACAAATTAAAGTGCTCAACTCTGAAACAATAGGGCAGTATACCTGCCAAGCCTACAACGGCATAGGACGGGCAGCTACATGGTCTTTGACTGTAGAAGCATACAACCCTTACCAAACGCCTGAAGTGGTGCCGATAACACCCAGAGCCCCGGAAACCGAGGCCACTACTCCCGCGTTGCCGGAGTTCGAAGAACCGGTCTATACTGGTAAGATTAGGCATTCTATACAACAATGTTATTAGCTTTTGCATGAATAAGGCCTGATTCATAGCATGACGGTTTTGATGCATGATGTGTGTTGGATTTTGAAACTTATTTATTTAAGTAGTCATAATTGTACCAACAGGTATGTACTAGGGCTTTCTTCCCGGGAAACTCGGTCTCGAAGATTTTCTGTTAGACTGATATTCGCAGTCTCGGGAATATCGAGACTTTTGAGACTTAAGTCACTTAATTGAGCAGCATTAAAAAAATCTTCTAAACCAGTAGTTATTTTTATTCTGGTTACGTGGACATGTCAACACTGTATAGTGGAGCTTAGTATGATATGTGGACATTGAAGAACGATTGTACTAAAATCAGGTCCCTGTATCTGAAACTACTCTGACTTTGTTTCTTACACGCCTAGTTTATACCATGTAAAAAATTAATAAATAGGCAGTTGGTAGTAAAAAAATATTTAGGATTTCTGTTTTATTTTATATAAAATGAAAAAATCATAAATCATTTTTTAATTTATACTTTTACTTAAATAAGTCGTTTAAAATATCATGTTTTGACCACCAAAATGCCTTATAGGTTTATAAGTATGGAAACTTATTTTTATAAAGTCTTGAAAGTCTCGTTTTCCCGTGTTTTTTTTTCAGACCGCACCGAGTCTTGATTTTTTTCCCGGGACGTTAAAACGCAGCTCAGCTGAAAGCCCTATTAAATGCAGCACCAAGCCGTATATAAAAGACTATCGGACCGATTTCGACTTTGTAGAGCGTCGTCTTCGTCACTCATACGTCAGTGACATTTTGTCGCTAATTTATTATTAGTCATGTGACAGAAACGGCACTGCACAAATTCAAAGTTGATCGACTATGGCTAATACTGAATTAATAAAGCTCGACGTGTTTATATTTACAGTCTGGTATTAGCGACTTTAGACAGACACTCTATCGCGCGTGACACAGCAATCGTGAGCGATTGAACGCGCGTGTAAAGACGTTGGAAGGGAAAGGGAAAGACCGCGCGATTGTGCACATCAGTCGCGCACTCTAAGATACGCCAGTTTCACGCGGTCTATCCTGTGCTATTAGCCTTTACACGGACGGACTTTCTTGCCGATGTAACAATCAGTACAGAGCACTAAATAAACCGACCTGAAAAGTTCGTGGAATCACATCTATTTGCCAAGTTTTATTCAAATCGGTTACCGAAAAGTGTGCGAACCCGATTCATCCTCTAGTTTGCCACGCTTAGATGTGGAATAATTTCTTCAAATGTAAATAGGATCACTACCGAAGTACTCTCTTTGCAACAAAATCAGTGCAGAGTACTAAAAAATCGACCACAAAAGTCATTCATCCCCTAGTTTGCTACCCTTAGAGGTGGAATATTTTCTTCAACTTTAAATGGGACTACATCTGTGGTACCCTCTTTCCAACAAAAAAGAATCATCAAAATCGGCTCAGAAATGCGGAGTTATCGAGTAACATACATACAAAAAAAGCCTACAGTCGAATTGAGAACCTCCTCCTTTATTTGAAGTGAGTTAAAAACGAACACGAGCAATCGCGTGCGAAAGAAAGCTTAAAAAAGTTCAAACAGGTAATCGAACACGATTGCGCGTACTGGATTTACCCCGCGCAGTCCTATACGCTCCTGATCACGAGTGATAGAGTGGCTGTGTAAAGGCTATATGTCTATTCGGAACTTAGTATACATGGTGTCACACGACTGTGGGACGCGGAGGCCAAGTAGTATTTTAAATATTGTAGATAAGATACTGTGCTTCATGGAGACAATATTTAATTTTCCAAAATTAGGTAATATTGCATTCAAAGACTTAAAAGTAGCTTGCACAACGCCTATATTTTTATGATGCCGATCGAAAGAGTAAATTATAAGGATTAATTCCTTATAAGTAACTTAATATCTTAATTTACAGGAACACGGTACAACTAATTTCAAAAGTTTCCCCCCCGTCTAGCTCACAGAGACAAATGCATTCAAAAACTAGTTTATAACCATTATTATCTTGCATTTTATAATAAATTATACAAGGAAGTAGTCGTTCTATAAGTGCTTCTATAAGTGGGTACTTATTAGTAAATAATCAAAGTTATCTATGAATATCGACAGTAAAACACATAATTCATTTTCCTAAACTTAAATGTAAAATTTCATGGTGTTTCTTTAATTTAGAATACTATATAAGTGTTGAATCAATCACTTTGTAAAAAATATATAGTACAATTGAGAATATACACTGAGTCTTAGAATAATAACGCATAGAATGATAGTTTCATATCAAACGAACTGTCACAAGTGAGGCAAAAATCCATTGACTTACAATTATATGGACGTCGGGTCCGCGCTAAAAAGTGTCCGCACTTGTAAGGCGCTAAAATCGTATACAGAGCGCGACACTCCGCTTTAGTCTTCATTTGTTCGACTGACAGCGCGATACTGCGATGACATTACAATTTAAATTTCGAATAGGTTGACTTGGGACATTTTTTTCGTGGTTTTTGTATTAGACCCGTCGTCCCATTTATTTGTAAGTCAATGCAAAAATCCAATTAATGTAGGCTAGTTTTAGTAGTAGGTCAATTTTCGGTTTTAGTGAATATTTATATAAAAATACAAGTTGAAACGCCGTTACTTCCTTGTGGAATGTGATGTTAGTATCTATTTTATGTTTGTCTAACGTATTTTTACACTCATTTACCACACATTTCGTCATTTTTAGCTAAAATTCTTGAGCTGCTCGCGGTGCAAGTTGACCTTGAGCACTGAAGGCCCGCCCGCTCGTGTAGGCCTTTTGGCGCGCTTCAATTTGCCTCACTTAGCGTGTGCGGACTAGGTTTCTATGCGTTATTATTCTAAGCACTGAGTAATATGTGGTGTAACACCGCTGTATTCAATAGGTGCTTTATGCATAATATACCAATGATTTATTAATATCAACAACTAAATAGAACACATTGACTCTATCGATCAACATCATAAAAATATAGGCTGTTTTTTTACACAATTGGTCGTTTTTACACAACGTTTTTCAATGCAAAGTCTTTGAATGCAGTATTATTTACATTAAAAAATAATGTCTCCATTTCCTACAATACATAAAGTGCGAGAGACGGCTGAAAAGTAATCTAAATAAGCTCGAAATAAAAGACGACCATGGATACTTTTATTTTCATATGAGATGTACATAGAAAATGCAATGATTTTATGTACTTACTAAAAGGTATAAATAGGAAATGCATTTTAATAAGTAATATATTTGCTAAAAAAAACTTATTGCTCATTTTTAAACATTGCACTTTTTTCGCCCGCCATTTTGTCTATGCAAAGCGAAACATAGTAAACAATACGTCACTAATTTTTAAAAAAGAATAAACAACGAATACGTCTCGATATTGGCCAGTACTCGTTTTGAATTATAAAATAGTCAAAAGAGATTACTTTTCACTAGCCCCTCGCTCTTTCCCCGCCATGTCCAATAACTTTAGGACGCCCTGTATATGAATTTAAGTGCTATTATACCCTTAGTACAAGTACAAAACGTATTTGTTTAATAAAGTTCATAGAAAATGTAAATTAGGTCCAATTCTTATCGTAAAATTATCTATTTCTCACGTGTTATCGGTCTTTATTTGACTTAGACTTTGCTTTTAATCTTAAATATGTATTATTATCATTTGTTCTAATTGCCTACATGTTTATTTGAAACAAGGTTATGGAAATAAAATTACAATGTTTATTTATTTTGTATAGTGCATGTACATATTTTAGTACCTAGTAATTATGATATGTAATTTACGTAAGCTTTTTTAAATTCTACACCGAATAATACACATACACACACACACACACATAATTTATAAAGTATATAAACAATAATAAACAATATTTTTTTCAAAAACAGTGCCGGTGAGAACGCGTCTACAATTAGACAGCCCGAACCTATCGGTAGGCTCTGAACTAAACCTGCCGTGTGACGTGGACGGTTATCCAGTGCCTGATGTCTACTGGACGAAAGACGGCGCCCGACTTGGTCCATCGGACAGAGTCAGGATCACTGGTAAGTCGAAACATGTGGTAGAGTTGCCAAGTTATAGAAATCAATGCTTGAAAACGAATTGCCTATACGACATATTTCTAATACAATAAAAATATTCTTTATTGCGTTCTTCACAGACAAATACATAATAATACAAAAAAGTAAAAATGACAGGTACAACAGGCGGCCTTATTGCTAAATAGCAATCTTTTCCAGATCACCTTTGGATTACAGGAAAAACTGTAGGATAAAATTATTTGAGTGCACATAGGATGCACATATTTCACAATATAGAAATGAATATAGAAAATAATAATAAAATACTATATTTATTAATAACTAAATAAAATAATAAAAAATAAATAAATATTAAGAAATCATAATAAAATATACATATAATTACATAAATTGAAATAAGATTATATAAAACACGGAAATAATAACAACACACAAATTTAAAACAGGTAAGAATATAAGAAAAGATAATTAGAATATTTATAACCAGCAAATTAGAAACCCCACGCATCCAGTGAAATTTGTCATATAATGTCGCACAGAGGTGTAACAATGCCACATCTGCAAATTATAACTTTCAAAAGAGATGTTTAAGAGTTGACACAACCTCAAATGGTTTTGGTTGACTCTGAATAACAGTGAAAGTGGCGTGTTGGGACGACCAGTGTTATTACCCTTAGATTTCAAGGGCCCTAAGTGTGGGCGTGGCCCCTAGATAACTAGGGGTCCTGCTCCTATTCACTTATATATAAGTCGCCGGAACCAGAGTCCCTAACTCCCAAACTCTTATGACACCTCCCTAATTTAATAAAAGGTTCAATTTATATTGCAGCAGAACGGAGTAGAAGCGAATTTTTGAAACTAGAAACGAGCCAAAATCTTTCGCGGAATGCGCGGGCGTGCGCGACAATTCCGCAGAATCTAGTTTGTACCTTACACAATTAACCATAAAGTTCATTATGCTATGTTATAACAATTCGTTTGCACTCCGTTCCGCCGCAATATAAATTGAGCCTTAGGGTCGGTTACCTATCAGTACTCCGAAATGACATTATGCAGAAATAACGTTTCCTCGAATTTTTATAACTTCGAAAGTAATTATTAGAGGAAAATGTTTTTTCTTTTAAACCTTACTTAACCTAACCTAACCGAACCTAATCGTGTCTGCGATAAACATCCAATATATCCTGAAAGAACAACGGTTTCGTTATAATTCAGTTTTCGGTGTAATGAAAATTCGAAGTAACGTTATTTCGGGAAAAAATTCGAGTTTGTGTTAGGTTACCTTAGGGTCCATTGAAATTGGGTAGTGTATAATACCGTCTACATAACGCTAGATTATGCAAATGTGTGCGTTCGTACACGTGTGACGTTTCTATGATGTTACTATAGTTGTTCTTATTCTACTATGCTTATATTCTGTCATATTTTTGTAAAAATTACTGAACTATAAAATTCGTATCGTTTCAGACTCGCGGCTGACGATATCTGGCGTGAGCGTGTACGACAGCGGTGTTTACGGCTGTCACGCCAGCAATTCCTTCAGCACTGATGCTGACACTGTGCAGATCACTGTACAAGGTAAGACCTCAAGAACTTGTTGTGGCACCAGGTACAAACATTCGATGAAGAGATGACGACTCGACTAAACTGACCCAATGCTGGTCAGGGGCTTCACATACTACTTGGAACACTAGAACTGTTTCCTACAAAGAGCTGGCAGACAATATGGATCTACTGCTATAATATTTTGTGCAAAAAATAAAAGACTCTCACACTCGTTTATTTGTTGACTAAGAGGATTTTGGAAATCTGTTCGGTAGATTTACCAATAACGAAAAATTATAAAAAAATTAAAGTATAGGAAATTATACTTCTCAATATGTGCATACTAAAACATAATTTATACCGATGGGATACAAATCATATTCCTTTTTCAGGTGCATATCTACCGCCAAAGTGCAACGACAACCCGCTGTTCGCAAACTGCAAACTGATTGTGAAGAGCAAGTTTTGTCATCACAAATATTACTCAACGTAAGTGCACCTTAAATAAAATTAACTTAACGGAAAAGTTAACACAAATCTCTGAATTGGCGGTCGATTCTCGAATATATGACAGAAAAATGTCACAGTAGAACATTGACTTACAAATAAATGGACGACGGGTCTAATACAAAAACCACGAAAAAAATGTCCCAAGTTAACCTATTCGAAATTTAAATTGTAATGTCATCGCAGTATCGCGCTGTCAGTCGAACAAATGAAGACTAAAGCGGAGTTTGGCGCTCTGTATACGATTTTAGCGCCTTACAAGTGCGGACACTTTTTAGCGCGGACCCGACGTCCATATAATTGTAAGTCAATGCAGTAGAAACAAATTTTTGACTACATACAATAGACAAACGCTTGACAAATGTCGAAGAAACACAACAGTTGTCGATCACAATTTTTGGCATTCTCAAAATCTCCGAGACTGACGTATGTCAACTCTCAGCGCTCGACATATATGTCGAACGCTTAGAGTATGGAAAAGTAAGTTATAATTTAGAGGATGGAAAACATATAACGAAAAAAAAAGCAGAAACCGGTATGTCGCACGCATCGAGTACATAAGCAAAAATAGAGACGATGTGTCTTATAATTTGTTTGAAAACTATTCTGCCATATCATTACTGTGACAACTGCGTTCCGATTGGCCAGCCCGAATTCGAAACAATTGACGGGTGTTGTCAATAGGTGTCGTCAATTGTTTCACTTCAAATCGACCAGTTAACTTGAGCTTTGCTATAATGGATGAAAATTGCAAAATTACATATTAATAATTATTAACACAAAGATCGAACACTCAGAAAAAAATCCTTCGATCCGGCTGGATTCGAACCGTCGTCTTCTAGCTTACTGTGCCAGACGCTATACCAACTAAGCCACGGAACGAACCAGCGGACCTCACGAATTTTTATAATAGCTGGGTGATAAATCTTTCATAGATTTCTTATAGACGGCGCTACGACTAAAAAGTCGTTGAAAAAGCAAATACAAAGACACGACGCAAGCACATAGAAAAATTCGTGAGGTCTGCTGGTTCATTCCGTGGCTTAGTTGGTATAGCATCTGGCACGGTAAGTCGGTTCGAATCTGGCCGGATCGAAGGAATTTTTTCTGAGTGTTCTATTTTTGTATAAATAATTATAACAAATTAGTGGAGTAATTTCACAAAAAAATAATTGAATATGAATTCAATAAAAATTTAAAATACATATTAATATTTAATAACCGATGAAATTTGATTCCGTTTATTTCGTAATTCGATGCAATGCAATTGCAAACGCGCGACTGCATCGATGCAATTGCATATAAATCCCTAGTGTAGCGATGCAATCGCGCGTTCATATCGATGCAGTCGAGCGCTTGCATCGCGTTTGCATCGCTGCTTAAAATCGTGCGCGTGTGTAAAGGTAGACGATTAACGACTGCATCGTGTTTGCATCGCTGCCAAAGATCACCATGTGTAATCGCTCTTAAAAGTGTCGGATTGTACAACAAAAGCTTAAAAGTTTGTTTTTGCTAAACTTATCATGTTTTGAAAAAAGTCATGGAACTAAACTTATTGTTTATGATATTAATAATATAGTCCTACGAGTTAGTATTTTACAAATTATCCTGTATACAAAAGGTAGAGTTTTTAAATACCCTGTAAAAGGGTATTTGAAAAACTTTTCTCCATTTACATAAAAAGTGAAGCTGGATATTTTTATTGTTGTTTAACATAGTGATGTATTTATTGCCATGATGTTCATCTATTTATTGTGTAGCCACTTTCAGGCGCTAGAAGCTGGTTCAAATCCCGTCGGGTAGAAGGAATTTTTCTTTGTGTTTGTTCGACCTTTGTATCAATAATAATAAGTAAATCTGGTTTGATCTATTTGATTAATATATTTGTTGCTCCAGGTTCTGCTGCAAGTCCTGTGTAGAGGCCGGCCAGCTGGATCCTACCGACATTAATATCCAAAATGACGGGCCTTGGCGCAAGAAGTAGTTACCGCACACATTAGGACCGAGGGATGTTTAAATTTTCACAAAATAGGTGTAGATACTTACTTGTTTTTTATTTCTTAGCTGTTATACGTTCGGATCGGCGTCGAATGAGACAAACAATTTTGACTATTGCCGTAACCGTGTAGTCTGAGTGTATCTCTCTGTTATTTTTTTGCTTACAGAAGCTTTAGGCTCAATTTATATTGACACGGAATAGAATGGCAACGAATTTTTGTAATTATAGCATCATCATCATCATTCACAGCCAGATTTCACCCACTGCTGGGTATAGGCCTCCCGAAGTTTATGGCATCCACTTGCAACTGGGCGCCCAGCATTTCTTTTGCCCATCACGGCCACCAATCAGTCGACGCCTTGCTCCACCTGTCATCACCTTGCTTTGCTATATGTCCCGACCAACCCCATTTGAGTTCCATGATCCGAGTTCCAGCAACCTGTACGAACCAAAATATCGGACGCTATAGGAGAATTGTCGTGAATTCTTGGGAATTCCCGTAGCTACCGTATCGTATCTACTTTGTTCGTTACACAATTGACATAATGTTCACTACGCTGTGTACAACTTCGATACAAAAATTCGCTGCCAACAACGACACTTAAACAACGTAAATTGAGCCACAGTTAAGTTTAAAATTATTATACATTCCCTCGGTAAAATTATCGCAATAGAGGTTTGAACAAAGTGCCATATTAAGCAGCATTTAAAATGTAAAACACAAATAGTGTTTTGGTAGTTCGATACGTCGTGTGTCTGTATTTTATACCAATAGATTTATTTTTATCGCACTTCGTTGTAGATAAATGTTGTTCAGGCATTGGTTAATGTAAATACAATTTTGAAATGTCACAATGATTTCCATCTGTGATGGGAAATAAGATAATCTAGCTCTAGTGCCTTATTTGTACCAACAGAGATATCGCTTTATAAACACAATTTTTACCAAAATCCTGGAGTTAACTTTATTTCACTGTAAATAAGGTATTGTTTACAGTAAAAATGGCGTCACAACAAACAAAACAACAACAAAAACACTGCTTCTGCGATCTTAAACTACCCTCATTTTTATCGTTACTTTGTAAGCACTAAAATCCCTATCAAGAAGTTGATAAACTTTTTTAACTCATGTTGGTGAATACAAACCTTAGTCAAGAGACGTAGGAAAGAAATTATTTATTTCATAAGATGTTTATAGGATCGCTTAGTAAACTGTAGTATTGTAGATTAAGCTAGAAGCTAGTATTCGCGTTACGAGTCATAATAATTTAGATATAAGTCGACTTTTATATTGTGACATTGTAAATAGAAACAAATAAAATCCTATAAGTAAAGCATACCTGTTTTCTTCTTTTTGAGATCTCTTTTTTATGACATATATATAGGCGCGCATTTTTTTTTAAATAACGCACACACTCAACACACAATAATGTTATTCACTCTCGCCTTAAAAAGGCTCAAGTTATAACGTTCAGGGAATAAGTCTGCAGGCACTATATTATATTATATTTTATTGTACTCCATAGAAGTTCACCATAGAAATGTGGAAGCGTAACACTTCGTGCGAATCCTTACAATATCCACAACATAGGGGTCGAACCCAAGACAACATCTAGTTCGCCGATAATGGAAAGGGGTAGGCAGAATTAAATCGTGCAATTCCATCGCACATTCGCCGTGATATATCCTGTAGAATATTGATAAACAGGCAACATTCAAATCTTTGCAGATTCGCCTCTACTAAGTCCGAGCCACTTATAAGCCTCTTGTCACGCATGTCAATTAAATCTAAGGTGGCCGGTTCGTATTTAGCAGAGCCATCCCATAGATGGCAGCAGTATTACATACACGAAACGGCCGGATTTGTGCTTGGTACAGTTGAAGCGATTGTGCCGGTACGAAGTAACGCTTCACCTTGGAAAGGATGCCAAGCTTCCTGGCTGCATTTTGGCCATGGATACAATGTATCTGCCGAAGTTCAAACTGGACGACAGATCCATTTCAAGTAAATGATTATCACTAGTATCAGGTTTCTTACCACGGTATGTGGTACCAGAAACCTGATACTAATGATAATCATTTAGTGAATAACCACGAAAGTCTTAAAATCCATTTCAAGTACCTGGAGACGGCTGGCTGTCGGTATGGATATATTACGAAAACACTTTTGATAAATAAAACCGACTTAAAAAGTTTTTTCTACGTGTATGTACCTATCAATGAAATTAATTGAATATACAATATCTTCTAAACAAAGGAGCGGCAAATTCTAGAATTTCGCGGCTAGAACCTACTAATTTACGACCTTTTCTTGGTGCAATTAGATCCAAGGTAGAAGTTGTGCTTGTCGAGACTCAAAAATGGTGCCGCCGCAATAAGCTTATTCCAGCATGGACAGTAAAACACCTTAGTAACTTCTAAACGACGCGGGCGTAACGACTAAATCTAGTTTTTTACGACTAGAAACGACTAAATCACGACTTTTTTTAGTGTAATCGGATCTAAGCTAGATGCTGTGGTTTTCGAAATTGAGAATTGTTGCCGCTGGAATAAGCTTATTCCAGCGTGGACAGTAAAATACCTTTGTAACTTTTAAACGACTAAATCTACTATAGTTTTTTGCGACTAGAACAGACTAAATAGCGATTTTTTACCCGACTAGTTAAATTTCAAAAACTAGATCACGGACACGCTGGAATAAGCCACGCCGTGAACAAAGGATCATTTATTAGGATTATAGGCAATTTATGTTGTGGAAGCAAAAATGCAAACCCATTTCCTGAAAAAGTTTTTTAGCTAGCTTAGACTAATAATAAGTCCTTAATGTAAATTACTTATTTATGGAATAACGTTGTAAGAGAGAAATAAAGATTATTATTAGCATAATAATATTTCAGTTTCAGAAAATAAAAAGCAATCTACACTGGGGGCAATTTATTTCATTTTCAAGTTTACAATGAAGAAAACGTAACATTTTCATTTGTTATTTGCCGAAATGTGGCAAATATTACTTTTAATATTAATTAAACTACTTATTTTTGTATACATCTTAATAACAGATCTCTGAAAACTCTTGGTAGAATTACAGACTCTGAAAGTAATACTCTATAGTCGGCTACGACCGTGCCGCTGTCAGCGGCGGCTTAGTGCGGGGCGGCGAGCGGAATGAACAAATGTATTAAAATGTATGAAACACGCCACGAGGCAACGCACTAAGCAGCATCGCACGCGAATTTTGTAGTGCGATTTACAGCAGCGGCGCGGCGGGAACAAATGTATGTGCGAACGAAGATGTCGTGACACAGAGCGGCGCAGACAGCGGCGATCGAGTGACGCACTCAGCGGTGGCCGAACAAACATATTATAATATTTATAAAATATTTCGGAGCAAAATATGGGCACACAAGCATTTATTAATGTAATATTAAATCGGCCACCAATATGGATGGCAAAACATGATTAGCATAAATTTAAAAATGTTATTAACGTGAGGAACAATGTTTCTGAATTGGTGAAGACACTTCTGGATTTGATATGATCTTTCAAAAGTACATCTATGTGTTGAAATAATCAAAAGTTTGTACAGTCAAAAACTTGACAGGATATTTCCGTTAAGTTACAGAATTCGCCATATTTATACCGCTCTTTATTCAATTTGTGGATTCCCGCATTCGAATTCAAAATATCGTATTTAAAGTGTAACTGCTTTCGAGGCAAATAAGCGCCACTTTCAATAACGGTATGTCCAAATACGTATACCGCTGTTGCCGTTGTTGTTGTTAATTCATTGTAAGTAATCATATCCGCCTGTCCGTTTTAATATGTATAAAAATTTACTTCGATACTAATAGTCGAACCGTAAAAATAAAGAAGGCAATAACGCAATTAGTAATCATTAGAACGTCGTAACAGTCACAATTCGATCATTTTTAGCAAAATTCTACCTTCTTCCACAATCCACCGATAAAACTGTCGACAACAAGTACATTACTATAATATCAGCGAGGGCTGTTATTAGCATAGTCCTCAAATGCTGAGTCTCATCCTTTTTGACATGCTTTTTATGTTTATTTATTTTAACTATTTCCTAATTTTTTATTTATGAACGAATTCTTTAATATTTTATAATTGTTTGTATTTTAAAACGTATTTTGCATTCATTTTGCATGTCAAATACAATTTTATTTTACCATTTCAAATTTTATGAATTGGCAACCCTGCAAATGTCTTTTCACTCCGTCTTCAAAAAAGGACTTTAGCTAAAGGAACTCGGTAGTTCAAATTTTTCTTATTCACTGGCGATGAATTTTATATTAATCTTATCTGACACTGGCACGTGTCCAGTGGCTGCCATAAAGGAAATAATAATAAATGAACTCGTATACTAAATAAGAAACTAAATAAAACAAAATAATGCGATAACATAAATTTTTATTTACATTCCGAAATTCACAGTCAAATATAACAAGAAACAAACGTTCCTTCTACCTCCGACTTACCTGGCAATGAAAGTACAGTGAGAACCTTCCTACTACTGACGATTTCGCTTATTTACACGCGTGACGAAATTTCGCCTAGAGTACGGCGGAGCTAACCACACTAAGTGAAAGATAAGCGCTTTGAGTTCCACTGCTCCCGTCGAAGTTATCCCGTGACGGGTTTTATCCCTCGAAATGTTCAGGGATTTTTTTACAAGAAATCCCGTTAACAGGAATGAAATTATTGTACTGTATTGAAACACATTCGAGTGTACCCGTGCGCGTGTCAGTACGGGACTTCAAGGAGGAAAATCCCTAAGTCCAGTCAGGCGATAACTTAAACAGGAACAGTGGTATTAATCAAGCAAGTCAAGTGCCGGTCCACGCGGCGTCTCGACGACCAACCGAGTTAATATAATACAGACATGATTACGTAATACAATGAACAAGACAAGTTGTGGCGGCTCCGACGTAGTCACTCCATCTATGACCCTGACCGGCGAGTGTGCACACCGCACGAACCTATATGATTGTTCGCCCATTCACAAAATAAAATCAAACTAAAAGAACATCACGAATTTTGCGACGGCTAGGCCTGTACAGACTGCGCAGCGATGTCATTTCGCCAATCGGCTCGATACCACGTTCCGACGTCACCGGCTACTCTTTGAGAGTATTATCGCGATACATATATTCTTAAATACAAAATTAAACACAATAAATCATTTTTATATACATCAAATTATAATTGAATGTACATAGCGTTAGTTAGATGCCCCGAGCGAAAGCCACGCGCGGTCAGGCGAGGGAGGGGCGGTGGGTTTCGCCGAGGGCGATCGCGGCCGCGCGGGGGGGCGCCCGACCCCGGCCCGCGCGGACGCACACAATATACACACTAGACACTATACATTGCGCAATATAAATATGACGTCACGGCCCGTTACTTCTATTCAATCTTAAATAGCTTACCGGGCGCCGAGCGGGCCCATTTTAGTATCACAATACGTGTTAAACTAAACCGAGGTCCCACTAAATCCTAAACTACCTAATAAAAAAAACTATATAAAACGAAACTTCTATTACAAATAAAAACATTCATAAAGTCGCTAGTAAGATATTTACCGGGCGGACGACTAGTGAAGTCAGTCTCGGGTCCGCGGGCGAAATAAATACGGGTACATGTACAATATTCTCCTACGCTAGCCTAGGTAAATGCGCTTCTCCTCCACTTGTACTTGCTCAGTCGAGCACTTGCGCCACAATCTTCTCCATGTCGTGGTCGACGTCGGCGGCGGCTCGCGGCGGCGGCGACGGCAGCGTGAACGGCTCGTCCAGCTCGTCGCAGCCTGCGGGCACCGGCAGCTTGGCCAGCTCCTCCTGCAGCTTCACGTAGTGCCTCTGCAACAACGCAACACAGTGCAGCCGTGAGTACTAGGTGGTGGTGCCTTCACACATAACGTTTATAGTAACATCTATAAAAATCCAGCGTTTAATTCTCAGTAAATAAAATTAATATGCACCTTGAGTGACGTGAGGTTCAGTTGTATGCTCCGCTGCGTACGCTCATCGCCGCTTTGGCCTTCCAATTCGGTGATCCAATTCGCCACCGTCTGCATTATCTCGTTGCGCTTAATCCAGAAATGTGTTTGTATCACCTGCAAAACAATCATTATTACGTTTTACTGGCATTGCTATTCGCATAATTAATAAATTATATGAAAATTAGATCGGAATTTTGAAAAAAATATAGAACACTATAAAAGTAAGGTTAGGTGGTGGAAGAGTAGCGTTGGATCATGAAAAAATTCCAATTTAAAAAAAAATCTTTTTCAGAAAATATTTATCGGTTTTTTGTTTTTATTTTAATCACCAGATATTCTTCCATAGATAAGACACAAGAACTAAAATGTTGTAAAATGCAATACAGCTGTGATGGATTGTAAAAAAAATGCTATTTATATTTTAAATTTTTACATAGAAAATATTTTATTTTTTTTATAACACACGCTCAACATAGCCCCGCACTAGGGAAACCCTATGTCGCGGGTGCCATGGACACACATATAGACAACCACAATTTACACCCACTCACGAGAGAAACAAATGTAGGTCATACAAATATTTCTCCCGGCCCGGGAATCGAACCTGGGACCTCTGCGTGGCAGTCCGGCATGGTAACCGTTTGGCTACAGAGGCAGTTATATTAAAATCAATCATAATCAATTACAAGAAATTCTTAGTTATAAGCATTTAAGTACATTCCTCTTACCCCACCTTTACTGAATTTTCAATTATATGACTTTTTCGAATCCAATATAGAATATGATTGGCAAACATTACCTCCTTGAAACAGGGCTCTGGATTCCTTAGATGGTCTAGCATGGCCCAGCGCACGCAGGCCTGGTAGATGTTGGAGTTGTACTCGAGGGAGGCGCTGCTGCCCACGCGCGTGCCACGGCTACGCTCGTACCCTGGCTCATTGAAGTACGGCTCCGGAACCAGGATCAGCGACTGGATGCTCACCAGCACCTGGAATACACGTTTAGAGAAATATTATTTCAAGAAGTTGAACACGAAGATTTTTAAAATTACTCTAGTAAAATAAAAACAAAAGCTCCTCTAACGGCTAGGAAAGATTGTTGAGTAGTGGTCACAAGTAGGAAGTTTGGAAATTAGAGTGTTGCTGCCTATATAGACGACGTCAAGGACGAGCTAGAAAGGACGAACAAGTCGTTGTAGTTGCAGTGCCACTCAGAGCTTTAAATCACGAAGATCTGAAGGGCACTGCCACTGGGCCCGTCGCCGCGAGACATAAGTTGACAAGTTCCATGTGCCTGTAATTCCACCAGCACCCTTACCCGTCAAAACTGGAAAGCAGTAATGCTCACATAACTGCTTGGCGGCTTGTACATCTATTTTCATGGTGGCACCAACTCTGAGGCCCCGGGTTCGATCTCCGCCCGGGTCGATGTAGAAAAACTAACTTTTCTATTAATTATTAATACAAAGATCGAACACTCAGAAAAAATTCCTTCCATCGAATAATAATAACAAACTGGTGGAGTAATTTCACAAAAAATAATTGAATATCAATTCAATAAAAATTTAATTAACACAGTGAATAGCGACATCTCTCGCCAGGACTGGTAGCTGTAAAGGTACTGTAAACGTACTAACTGGGTGTTAAATCTGTAATAGATTTCTCATAGATGGCGCTACGACTAAAAAGTCGTTGAAAGACCAAGTACAAAGACACGACGCAAGCACATAGAGAAATTCGTGAGGTCCATTGGTTCGTTCCGTTGCTTAGTTGGTATAGCGTCTGGCACGGTATGCAAGAAGACGTCGGTTCGTATCCGACCGGATCGAAGGAATTTTTTCTGAGTGTTCGATCTTTGTATTAATAATTATAACAAACTAGTGGAGTAATTTCACAAAAAATAATTGAATATCAATTCAATAAAAATTTAATTAACTTTTGTATTATCTCTGGTCTGGATGTTTGTAGTACAGTCGTTGTTTCCGATTTACATAACACAAGTGCTTTAATTATTTACTAAATTAGTTGTCTTATATTTATATTTATATTTATATTTATTTATATGGTAGACCTGTTCGACTCGAGGTCGCAGGAAACCGTAATCATAACCGCAGAAATCGTGGCTTTTGTAGGGGACGGACAAGTCCATTGATAATAATTAATTTAATTGTGTGGAAATGTGTGTTGGTTAAAAGAGAAAAAAAACATATGCGGTCCTGCTCGATACGGCACGTATTGTTCGCCGGTTCTTGAACCTGAGTCCCTGACCGGTCTGTGTCAGTACCGGGAAATACCGCCTCTCTCATTTAAAAATTCAAAATTAATCTTTTAGGCCTTGGGAGAGGCGACAGTCTAAAATAGATAATAATAATAACAAATTTATTTATTTCAGAAACTTACAGACTAATTTCACTTTGACAGTGTTAAGCTTGCAATATTGCATTTAGGGCAGGACATCTGTGTCTGAACTAGATAATTAATTATCTGTATTTCAGACATCAGCGCTCTTCCGTGAAAACAAGAACATGTGACTGAATTCAAAAATATCATTGTCTTCTAAAATAAGTCTAGAGACTGGGTTTAAATTTAAAGTTACTTCTAATTTACTTATAATTTTAGATGTGAGTAGTAACCTCTCCCTGTGAGTAAAATGGAAATGATTGAATGTGTTTGGGAATGCGTGTTGGTTAAAAGAGAAAAAACTACTGTATAAAACTTAATAACTTCTCGGTTTCATCATAGGTCAGTTTATGGATATACTCTGCTACTCTATGTTTACATTATCTTTTGTTTATTGAATGTATATCGATTGTTTTATTAATTTTATTATATAGATGTGGACCTAAAAATCAATATCAGTTATTTACACATTTACGTTTAAATTTTGGTAAGTTACTGTACGGTATAGCGTCACGTCGCCTGGATTTTTTGAGGTGGTTGAATTGATGAATGAAATAAAAGAATATTATACGTACTTGCAAGAAACTAGAAGTATGCGCGTTCCACTTCTCTTCCGGCCGTCCATGCCACGTATTAAGCACGGAGAGACAGACCTTCCCGTCGTTGTATAGGTTGGGGTTGAACCGCACCGAATGCCGCCCCGTGGTCTCCAGGTTGATGAGCATAGGCACGGCCGGGTACTCGGCAGGGAAATATACGTCCAGCACGAAACACCCGTTCGCGTACGGCGTGTCAGAAGGACCCGTTATTAGGACCTGCAATTATTTGTTCCTTGAATACAAGTAATC